TACAAGCAATATGAATGCTCCTGAGCTAAATTTCAACTGTCCCAGATAAGGGTATGAGTACTTATGCAATGGAATCATTTAAGTTTTTTATTTTTAATAAATTTGCAGAGATGTTAAAAAACTGTTTTTTTGCTTTACCATTATGGTGTATGGAGTGTAGATTGATGTGGAGAAAAAGTAATTTAAAGCAGTTTAACATAAGGCAGCAACATAACAAAATGTGAAAAAAAAAAGAATACTTTCGCAAGGCACTGTACATATGTGTTGGGCTTACGTACAGGGTTACTAATGGTATAAGACAGGCTGGTTATTTTATTCTTTTGCAGGTTGAAGTGGGTTAGCATGTTAGCATAGTTGACAGAGGAGAGTTAGCCTTTTAGCCAGTCTCGTCAAATTAGCCCATCTCCGCTGAGTGCTGCAAGCTATAGACAGGCCACTCGCTTCACTGCCCTCAGACATAAACAGTCTTGCTTCACTGTTTTGTCATTTTTGTCTCCTTTTTCTTCTTTTCCATCCTGACTTCCTATACTGTCCTTTCTCGCTATCGACTGAGTTATGGCTAATGCATGAGGCGAGTACCTGCTGACAAGGAACACAAGCATGTAGCATAATTTCATTGTATATGTACATGTACATGTGATCTCAAAGTATATCCTGGCCCGGTGGCAATCATTGTTTCTGCCAAAATACTGTAGTCACTAAAGTAAAACTGTGGTAACTTGGCGATAGCAGCTACTGTTATGATTCTTTTTGACCGCATCAGTACGTTACAAGCTCACTGTTTGTAGTTGTGCATGAGTGAATGTCGGTCAGTATTACAATCAGCTTAGAAGGTCAGAATGAAACCCGAAGGGTTTTTAGGGATGTTGCAACATGCTGAGGGCCAAAGCCATGTCTCATCACAACACGTCGTACGTGTTTGAAGAAGTGACAAAATCTGTGTGTAGAAATATGACAAAATTTACCCAAATGAGGATGTTAATTTGTTCCTGTAGATAGTGAATCAAGCAGTAATTTGCTAATGCGGTTAGGCAGATTACCTCATATTATGTTTTTAAGTGTGCACATCCATTAGCACATTCATGTGCTTTTTAATTCAAGAGTGTTTTGATTTGAATTTGAAGGAGAAGAGAGGAACTAAAGAATCACAATTCAGTCAACTTCCAGTGAAGGTCCAGTGAATAGGTAATGTGGGCAGTGTGCATTGAGTAGGCATGAATTATTTAGGGAGTGTGTTTAAAGAGAAGGACACCAAGATGTATTACCCTGATAATGAGCAAGAGAGGAACAGATTTGACACACACACACACACACACATACACTTATGCCATATACACACAACTAGCCTGAAAAAGATCTAGACAGAGATATACAGTATTATCATTATTCAATATTTTTACTTTATCACTCCAAAAAGTTTTATTTTAGTGCAAAGGTTAAGATTATGGTTAGTCTCTAGTAATTATTTTATCATATGTGCATATGTGTTTGGGTCATTTTGCCTTCATTTTTGGGACTTTATGAAGAAAATGCATTTGTAGACTATTATATATAAAAAATATATTTGTAGGATATTGAACACATTGTTACCTCAGTATAAATACAATAGTAGTCAATGAAATGATAGAAAATCATTTTGTGTGTGTGTGTGTGTGTGTGTGTGTGTGTGTGTGTGTGGTCCTCAGGGGCATTCAGGCGCTGCAACAGGAGAGAATGTGACATAACGGCCTGATAATGTCAGACACAGGAAGTGCTCAGAGAGTGAACATATGTATCTAACTAATGAACAGATGGTAAATGTACCAACAGCCTCTCTGTCCATTTCTTCTCTTCCTTTCTTACCATCTCTTCCCCTCTTTACCACATCTACTATTTCTCTCATCTTTCTTATGTCTCCTTCTTGGCTTTTCTCCCTTGTTTCTTTCTTCACAACTTTCTCTGTTTAAATTAGTTTGCCTCTCTCTATATCTGTCTGTCTGTTTCCGATCATTATTCTTTAATTAAGACGGTGCTGGAAAGCTGTCTTAGGCACCTGCCACAAGTTGGCTCCGACCCTATTCATTACCCCCCTCCCCACGTGCATGTTCCTCCTCCTTTTCTCCCGTCATCCTCTCATCTTTCCCTCCACTTGCCCTGCTGAACTCTCCCCATCCGCTCTCTTTGCCAGCGCAGTAAGGGTTGATCCACCTCAAGCTTTCCAAATGCAATAATCCAACAGAAGACACCGTGCCAGAGACTGCATGCACACGGTTGTACCATAACTACACATTGTTTGAAGGTGAAAAAATAAATCTCTCCATCTTTGTGTGTTTAATCCTCTCATATCTCTTTGATGTGGGTTAAACATGTGCAACAGAAACAATATGTTTTACATTAATAAGATCCCACAATCTATTTCATATTGATTTGTGAAATTATATTTTGAAATTATATATTATTTGAATTGAATTGAATTGTAAATGTATCCTTATCAACACTGTCCTAGTGCCAGATTAGAAACAGTTTTCTCAACATGCATTATGTATTGACTAGAAGTTTTCTCTTAATGCCATCATGTAATGCCATTTTTTGTTGTGAGCTGAAAAGACCAGAATTTGTCACAATTAGGCTTCCTGAGATGTTCAACAGATCTCTAGGGTATGTTAATTCTTATGTCAAGACAGCAAGTTTTGAAGTAGAACATGTATACAGTATAAATCATGATGTATATCTAAGTTTTAAACTTAATAGAGTAGTAATACAGTAAGTACCCTTAAGGAACTACTGTGAAGCTTTTATGTATAAATAAGGTACAAAGTAGTTCTTTTAAGGGTACAGTCTCAGTGACAAGCTTAATTTTGAGAGTGTATCCAAACAATCATATATAGTTTGGATAGTTAAGCAAATTAAATACACTTTAATAGTTTTTAAAATTACTTCTTTTTTGTTTCACAAAAGACAACTTAAAATTATGTGTTTGTATGCTGAAGCGTAGCAAACTAGTTTCAAATTAGCTTCCCAACCACTAGAAAGAAGATTTGTAGTATATACTACCGTTCAAAAATTTGGGGTCAGTACGATTTAAATGAAAGGGGTCATATGATGCAATTTCAATTTTTCCTTTCTCTTTGGAGTGTTACAAGCTCTTGGTGCATAAAGAAGATCTGTAAAGTTGCAAAGACTAAAGTCTCAAATCCAAAGAGATATTCTTTATAAAAGTTCAGAGTCAACCACACCTACCTACAACGGCTCGTTCTAACACGCCCCCATATACTATATCTACATCACTATGTGGGAAGATTTGCATAACGCCGCCCAAATGTTCACGCAAAGAAAGAAGGCGTAACTTTTATTCTCACTGTAGTTTTGTTGACGCTGCAGCCATGTCGTGAAGACGCTGTGTGCTTCGTTGTGAAAGCGAAACTACTTTGTTTGGTCTTCCAAAAGAGGACGATATCCGCTTCGTCATGCCTAGAGCCTAGAGCTGATCCGTGCTGGTTGCTGAGGAAATACTACAACTTTGCACTGTCGATCGCCGGATCGGCTTTCAC